TGACATGGTGCTTCTTTATCCTTGTCTCCTCTCATTAGAACCACACGAATTATTAAGCCCTAATAATTGGCATGAAATTTCTACAAATCCAAAAAATTTATATATATTTTAATGACATGGTGCTTCATAGGAGGAAAATTCTAAAATTGAATGTTGACTTCCTTATGTATTAAATAATGAATGTGGAAAACTTGGGGATTTAACAAAACTTCCCAACTTAAATTTCTTGTTGCAAGTTTATACTTCATCTCCTTAATGACAAATGGGAAAATTACATAAATAGCACCCAAATCTTATGGATTTACGAATCTCGCACCTAAACTTTCATTTTTACACACATAGCTCGCAAAACGTCACACAATCACAAGTTATGTCAAAAGTTAAACTTTTAAACTATTATTAAAGTTTTTTTAAGCTATGTAAATATTATTTTTACACTTTATTAAAAAAATGACTATAGGTGTTTTCTAGATATACTACTCAATTTCTATGTATTTACATATGTAACATTTATATTTTTTTATTTTTATATGCATATCATATTTAAAAAATATATATTTTACTTTTTAAATGTTAAAATGAAGGTGTTTTTGATGAGATTTGAAAGATTTGGATGGCATAAATATAATATAAAATTTGGATGTTAGATACGTAGGTCCTAGTGGAGGTTGAAAAATATAATTTGTAATTAAAGTGTAAAAGATAATGCTTACAATTAAAAAATTAATTATATTGGCAAATATAATGTGTGGATTTTTCTAAAAATATTTATTATACTTATTGCGTGCCACAAAATTCACAAGGGTAGAGTGATAGTTTAATGTCTTAGTGTTACACGAAGATCTATCACATCCACAGATAATTGAAAAATAGTAGCAGAACACAACAAAATTTTTTGCATCAGAAAATCCAAAAAGGGAAAAAATCACAAGTCTAGCCTAGTCAAAGTAATTCACTATTAGTGTATAAATATATATGTACTCCTTTTTCTTAGAATTAGGAGAGCAGAGTTATTATTTTACATTAGAAATAACACTTACCAATATAAAAAATACATGTGTTAAGAACAATCATCATATTCGAAATATAACTGTCATAAGCAGTGGTCTTTGGTGGTTGATGGTTGGTAGCGACAAATGTTGTCAGTGGTCGTCAGTTACGGAGGCCGGAGGTTATCGCCAACTATTCAATATAAGTGTAATACGTATAACCCTTTTATTTTGTTGTAGTTGTTTAGGATAGTGTGATAGACTTATCAAATATAACATCTCTATTAATGATCACTTTCTTATTTTTTGAGCACCACAATATATAACCTTTAACTCTAGTTTTAAACCAAAAATACGCACCTTATTGATCTAGACTCAAATTTATCATTATAAATATTAGCATATGCAAGACAGCCAAAAGTTATTAAATTAGAGTAATCTGCAGGTTTACATGACCAAATCTCTTGTGGAGTCTTCTTATCAACAATAATGGAAGGAGAGAGATTCACAACCGATTGTAGAAGCAGCTTTAACCCAAATGACATAGGTAGCTTGTCATTGAAGAGTACACAACGAATCTTCTACATTATACTTATGTAGAAGCAGCTTTAACCCAAATGACATAGGTAGCTTGGCATTGAAGAGTACACAACGAATCTCATTCGCTCTGCCAAACTATTTTGTTATGGTGTGTCAAACTGTGAAGTCTCTCATAATTCCTTCTGATTTGTAGAAGATCTTGAATTTTTCTAAACATAACTCCAACCCATTATCAGTTCGAAGATGTTTGATCTGCTTTTTAGTCTGCTTCTTAATCATAAGCTTTCACTCCTTAAAATTAGTAAAAACATTGCCCTTCTGCTTCAAGAAAAAAAATCCAAATTTTTCCAGAGAAATCATCAATAAATGTCAACATATATTTAACACCACTTTCAAATAACACTGTAGAAAGTCTCCAAATGTCAAAACACATATATGGTCAAATATTTTCTTGGTACTGTGAATGGCAGAATTAAACTTAAATCTCTTTTATTTCCCGAACACAATGCTCAAACAACTTTGATTTAGTAATATTTTAACCATTTAGAAGTCCTCTTTTGCTCAGTTCAACCATCTTATTCTCACTCATGCTCAAGATGCAAATGCCAAAGTCTAATTGCTTTATCATCTGATATAGAAGAAGTACTAATTGTTGCATCAAATATTTAAAAAAATTAGATCTCTTTTTAGATTTGGGTCATGTCTCATATCTTGAAGTATTCTGATGACTCCATCAAATATATTGATTGTAACAATTTTATCATTGATAATCTTACTTGGAGCATTATTGTTTATTAACACTGTACTCTGCGACAACATTTCATATGTTGAAAATAAGTCTATATGGGGCATATGAAATGTGCAGGCTGAATCAAGAACCCAAGTGTCACAGGATTCCAAATTAGAAACAACGAGGAGTTACCTTCACTAGCAATTATTTCAATAATGTCGGATTCACTAGAATGATCTTATTACTTATCTTCTTTGTTTGAAGCTATTTTCATATTTACATTCATTTTTTATGCACCTATTTTTCTTATAGGAATTATAGATCTTATCATTAATCATGGATTTTAATCTACACTTTGTATCAACACCGAAACTCTTCTCTTTGGTTCCACCTAGAACGACAAGATCTTCTCCTTGAGCATCGGGTTCACCCACAAATTGTTTCTTTTTTTCTTAAGAAAATATAGTATCACTTACTTCGTTTAGAGCAAGAGTTTATCGCCCATACAATGATATCCTTAAACACTATATATGATGAAGGCATGAATCCTGACATAATTAATGTGAAATCTTCTTCATCATTGTTAACTTCTATGGCTTCTAAATAATAGATAATTTTCTTAAGGACATTTAATTGAGCTATAATCGATGCACATTTATCATCCTATGAGAGTGTAAATGCTGCTTCAATTGCAACTTACTCGTCAGAATTTTTGTCATGCACAACTACTTTAATTTTAATCATAATGCAGCTACAATTTTCTCCTTCAAACTTCTTGTAGAATTTGATTTGATAGATGAAGATAAATTTGAGAAAATGCCTTTCAAACTTTGCAATGCTTCTCCTCCAACATTCATGATGGGACATTCTTTCAAATTCAAGTAGCATATATCGATTCATCTATGTTAAGACAACTCACACCTTAATTTACCAAAGCAAAAATGTGGTATTACGAAATAAAAGAGGGATGCATACTTCATTGTTGCCATCATCGAAATCAAAACTTGGCTCTAGCATCAATCTTTATAACTTGATATTATATCGATGCAAAAAAATAATGAAATAAACAAATTAAAGAACATAGATTTTACGTGGAAAAACTAAGATCAGAAAAATCGCGGGCTGAGGTGAAGAATTCACTATATCAAATCTTAAAGTATAAGTGGAGAGCTTTGGCCAACATAAAATCAAAGAATGAAAAAGTAAATGTCTTGTATAAAACAAAATGTGGGTATTTATAGTATTAAGCAATACCCTTTTACAAGAAATAATTAAAAAGAATCAATAAAGCAATAACACACTAATTGCTATCTAAAGGCCATTATAAGACTGATCAACCTATCAATTCTGAGTGCTTATATTCTCTTCTAAAGTCTCAATCCATGAGACCAAGTTTTCATTATGAAGCTCTAATCTGCGTGCTCATAATTTTTTTATAAAACAATAAGCATGACCCACAAATTAAACAGTCTTGCATATGCGGTGTATGTGTTTGCGATTAAATTTGCTCAAATCTCCCAAAATAAATAATTAAATAAACAACTAAAGCCTTTTCCTCTCTTTTAGGGTTGTCAAAAATTGACCCGACACTCCAACACGACTCGAACTCGACTCGAAAAATCCAGGTTAGGGTTGACCCGAATATTTTTTAAGTCAAGTTCAGGTCCGAGAATTCAACATGTAAAAATTTCGGGTTAAGTTTGGATTGAACTCAAAAACCCGAACATGACCTTAATAAACACGAAAAAATTAGTTGTACTCTTAACTCTTATATCATTGCTTGTCATATATAAAAGAAGAATTTACATAAATTGTGTATTGTTACATGTTAGAAAAATATTTTTTAATAAAAAAATTGAGCTGACAGGTTAAACAAGTCAGGTGCGGGTTAACCGTGTTTGGGTTGAGACGGGTTCGAGATTGATTTTTTCGACCTGTTTATTATTTGATCAGGTTATTTTCAAGTCCAGACCCCAACTCGGCCCTCTGACCCGAATTCACATCCATATAATGTTTAATACAGCCAATAGGATGATTTACATGAAATGAAAAGTTTCTATCAAGTTTAACTTAAATTAAAAGTTCCTTAAAACATTAAAAATAAATATATCTCTCAATTACTGAAATATTCTCTTACTAACATAGACTAAATATGATGGCAATTTAATATTAAAAAAAAAATTAAAACACGGTAAGTCATTAAAATTGAAATAAAAACTAATAATATATTAATAATTATGAAAAATTCAAATTATAAACCACAAAAAAAATGCTCATAAACATGAACCAATATATTGATTTTTGTTAAAATAATGATATTTTACAACTAATTTTAGAACCGTACAATAATCGATAAGCTTTATTACATGGTTGTTAGGGAAGGACGGGGTTGTTTACGTGAAATAATCAGTTGCATCCCATTAAAAAGAAACACATTTTTTCAATGTAAAAACTAAAATTCAGGTGTCAGATATAAATACATGAAAATTGAGTTGTATTTATGTAAATCGTCCAATTGGCTGTATTAAACGAAGCAAATCAATTGTCGCCGCCGTAAAAGCAAACCCCCCTGCATCCACCCGTTCAAATTCGAAGCAAACTGACCGATTTTTAGAGCCCCGGAGCGATCAAACCGCAGCCGGAAACCGAACAAGCCGGAAAGTTTCCACCTTTCGCAGACCGGCGCCGGTCGCCCCACGGAAGCGAGAAGGGGGAACCCTGTTCTTTAAAAAGGCAAGCTTTCTTTATCCTTCTGTCTTTTGGAATTATTCGATTAAAGAAGATAATTCATGGTGAGTTGGAGGAATAGAGGGGGGGTGGGCAACCACCACGCACTGACGGGCACGCACGATTCTGTGGAGTAAGTCGCCGTCGACTAATCGGGCATATTGATGGTATTGATCTTCAAAAAACTGTTGCCGTACAGCCTTTCTTCTTTCCGTTTCTTCTTTAGCGTGCAGCCCAAGCACGGTACGGCGCAAGAAAGAAGGTTTCTTTGGCATTCATTATTAGATTTTGATGCAGTTTTTGTTTGGGGCGATATCGTTGCCTGTGATGGTTGACTTGTTATTTGCAAATTTTTCTTTTTTTGGGGTGGGGTGGGGTGGGGGGCTGGGTTT